TTTGGAGCAGTGGACACAAGCAGCACAGTCAGAAGGGTTCCAGACTTAGAACAGGAGCATAAGGTCCTACAATGAACAATGTTTGTGCTTCTGGGTCTCCCCTTACAGGACATGATAAAAATAGAGACATCCCTCCCTCCCCACCCCTGCCAAAAAAATTACAGTTTCTTAGCAAACTCCTGGAAATGAGATGGGAGGGAAAAAATGGTGGGAACTGGCTAGACAGTGATCTGGCCCCAAAGTCACTAAGGAAAAGAAAACAGTACACAGCATGATGCAGTTCAACTACCTTAAGGAAGTCGGCCATGGTGGCACACAGAGGTACTTAAAAGACCATCAAAGTCAGCCTCAGCAAGTCTGAAGCCAACCTAGACTACACAGACCTTGTCTCAAAACAAAACACACTCAAGGCACGGTGCTGCACGCCTTTAATGCCAGCACTCGGGAGGCAGAGGCAGGTGGATCTCTGTGCATTTCAGGACAAGTTACACTGAGAAACCCTGTCTCGAAAAACCACATGTAACACCCATACAAAGTCCCTCCCTCAAGATTGCCAAATGTGGTGTAATCCTAGCACTCAAAAGATCATCACAAGTTCAAAGATAGTCTGCTCTACACACTGAGTTCAAGAGCAACCTGGACTACACAGTGAGAACCTATCTCACACACACAGGACATCACAAAGAGGCTGGGGATGAGTGAGAGAGCAGCTTCCCTTTGAACACAGTTGCTACTCATGGGTTACAGGAGGTAAGAAAACAGACCCACAGACAAAATGATCTAATGTGCACACCTGGTTCTAAAGAGAGAAGATAATGTTTCCATTTGCACTACAGGACTTCCAACATCAATTAAAGAATGAGATGTAGCTCTATCAACCCAGTGGCAGAAAAGGAAAAAGGAACAACAACAGTATTTGGTTGGTACATTCCCAAAAGAAAAGCTACAAGCTGGTTACCTACACAGTCACAGTCACAGCAGCAGCGTTCACAACAGAAAGGAGTGAAAGCAACCAGACCACCCTTCAATACAGGAACAGACAAAACAGGAATAAACTGGGCACAGTCATACAGTGAAACACTACCCAGATATAAAAAGGGATGGAATTCTGATACATGCTTCAAAAATGTAAGACATGAAAGGCCACATTTTTTATGATTCAGCCTATGAGACGCACTTATACCAGGCACACTCCTTGAGACAGGATACATACAGCACAACCCTCCAGCACTAGAGGAGGGGACAGGAGTTCCTGCTTAACGAATACAGAGTTTCTGTCTCAGGAAGTTTGGAAACAGAAGCCAGACATAGTACTCTACTCCTGTAACCAAAGAATTTGGGAAACTGAGTTCCAGGCCTGCCTGGGCTACACATTGCAAGACCTCATCACAAAATAAAAATCTGAAGCCGGGCGTTGGTGGCGCACGCCTTTAATCCCAGCACTCGGGAAGCAGAGGCAGGCGGATCTCTGTGAGTTCGAGGCCAGCCTGGTCTACAAGAGCTAGTTCCAGGACAGCCTCCAAAGCCACAGAGAAACCCTGTCTTGAAAAACCAAAAAAAAAAAAAAAAAAAAATCTGAGTGCTGGGCCAGGGTATGATGGTATTTGTACGTAATCCCAAAAAGGAGGCACAGGTGGATGACAAGTTCAAGGCCACCCTTCTTATACAGTCAGATCCTTCCTCAGACAAAGAAAGGCTGACGTAGTGGGTGACAGAGTACTTGCCTAGCATGTGAGAGGCCCTGGGTTTCTTGCCCAAGGTTCAATCCACAGCATCACCAAAACCAAACCAAACACACAGACACACACACACACACTACACACACACACACGTACACACACACCACACACACACATACACAAGACACACACACAAGACACACACACACCACACACACACATACACACACAAGATACACACACACACACACACAAGACACACACACACACATACTACATACAATTCCTATAGACCATGAGAAGGATAAGAACAGGACTACTTCAAATAATGTTTTCCTGGTTTTTCAAGACATGTTTTTCAAGACATGGCTGTCCTGGAACTTGCTCTGTAAACCAACCTGGCCTCAACTCTGCAGAGATCTGCCTGCCTTTGCTTCCGAAATGCTGGGATTAAAGGTGTGCATCATCAAACCCAGTGACCATAAAATATTTTGAAACTTTCTTTCATTAATAATAGTAACAATAGCTGGGCAGTGGTGGCGCACGCCTTTAACCCCAGCACTCAGGAGGCAGAGGCAGGTGGATCTCTGTGAGTTCGAGGCCAGCCTGGTCTACAGAGCAAGTTCCAGGACAGCCTCCAAAACAATAGAGAAACCCTGTCTTGAAAAACCAAAATAAATAAATAAATAATAATAATAGTAACAATAAGGTAACAATACCATTCAGTATATGACAGCAGGGTCTTGAAGATCATGTGGCTGGAAAATCTGAACCATGTTGACTTTCTAAGCCCAAGCCTGTCACGGTTATCTGGTACTACCACCGCCACCCTATCGAACCTCCAAATCACTGTTGCTTCTGTTGAGTTCTCTCACTGTATCTTAGAAGCACCTAGATCACACCTTAATCTTAGGCGTCACCTCTTCAGGAGTCTCCCATGGCTACCTTGTAACTCTCTTATCTCATGTTTTATATTTAACATGTCGTTTGCTCTGGATTTATTGCAGTTCCCTTAGAGTTTAGCCCAGTGTCTGACTTACAGGAAGCACTCAGTAAGTGATGAACAGTCACCTGAGTATGTCAGTGCCATGGGTACAGCACAGATCAGGACTCACGGATGGACGGGACATGCACAGGCCTTGCTCTGGTGTGTATGTTACTGTTCGTGGGGCATGCAAGAGGGAGTTCCAACAGAGCCTAGAGGTGGGCAAAGAGCCCGCGGCTGCCTCAGAGACCAGGAAGTGGATGGGACAGAGAGAGTGTGGAAGTCAGGGCTGGGAGCCTGGTCGTCTGTGATGGAGACTCTTGAGCCGCCTATAGTGAAGGCCCTGCTGTAACCAGCTGGTGAGACAGATCACAGCATAGATTCACGAATCCCTCAGACAGAGCCCCAAAACAGAGTCCAGAGTACAGAAGTCCTGCTGCAGGATGGCTGCTAGCACAGAGCAGAAGCCAGTTCTCCCCCATATGCTCGTGAGGACCAGTCGAGAGAGAAGGCAGGCAGTGGTCCAGACCTGTACCCACCTGCCCTGTATTCTGGAACGGGGAGGGATAAGTCCCAAGGCAGCTAGGTTACACACTCAAGTCCTGTCTAAACTGGTGAAAACTGGGCTGGAGAGAGTTTAGCAGGTAACCCCATCTGCCCTGCGAGCCTGAGTTCAACTCCCCGGAACCCACATTCAAGGTGGAAAGAGAGAATGGGCCAGGCTTGGCTGGCACACATTTTTCTTTTCTTTTCCTTTTTTTTTTTTTTTTTTTTTAGTTTTTCGAGACAGGGTTTCTCTGTGTAGCTTTGGAACCTGTCCTGGCGCTCACTCTGTAGACCAGGCTGGTCTGGAACTCACAGAGATCCACCTGCCTCTGCCTCCCGAGTGCTGGGATTAAAGGCGTGCTCAACCACTGCCCAGCCAGCTGGCACACGTCTTTAATCCCAACACTTGGGACGCAGAAACAGGTGGATCTCTACGGGCTGGTCTACATAGTGAATTCCAGGACAGCCAGGGCTATAGAGAGAGACCTTGCCTCAAAAAAAGAGACACAGAGAAAGAACGGACTCCACAAAGTAGTCCTCTGACCTCCACATGAACACCGGGGCATGCACCCGTCCCAAACAACGATAAATAAATAATGCTTAAAAGAACCAATCCTTTCAAAAAAAGAAAGGGAGGACAGGAGAGCCTGAGCTAAAAGGGAAGAAACCTAACCAAGGCATCAGGAGAGGCAAGGGCCGAAAATAAAAACAAAAAAAAAAGCCTCCTTGGGCAAAACTTGGAGCCAACGCAGGCAAGTGGCCCCTCAGAGCTCTAAAAGTCCCATCACCATGATAGTATGAAGTCAGTTAGGGCAAGCCTCACCAGGCCAACAGTCCCTCAACCTACTCAGCTCTCACGCTGGGCCAGAGGCAGCTCTGGGTCCCCTGAAGTGAGTCAGGCGGCCTTCTTGAGAGCTAGGGTGCTTGCAGCAAGACAAAGCCTATGAGGGAATTCCTGGAGAGCAAAGACTCCAAAGAGGGCTAACTGAGGTACTGATCCCCCGCCTCCACCTGCACCCCCAAGTAAGGACCAGGAGGAAAGGAGGGCTTACGGGTCGGAGAGCTTTGCCCTGTCTCCCGAGTCTGGCTGGGGCAAGCCAATACACACCTCTCTTCGGCACCCGTAATAAGTAATCCTCTCCCTGCCTCAAGCCTCCGGCACTGGCTCAGCCAGGAACCCAAAGAAGCCCGCACTCCTTTTCGCAGGCTGGTCTGCATTCCTCTCCTAACCACAATTCAAGAGGCACAGCCTCCAGGCGGGGACACTAGAAGCCCCAAGAGGCTGGGGCGCGTGCTTCGCCGAACTCGGAAGCCCACACGAAGCAGGAAAGTCCCTCGGCTGTCCTGTCAGCGTGAAGGCTGTGGATCGATCTCCCTCAACTACCTGTGCTGTGAGGTTTGACAAAACAAACAAACAAACAAACAACCCTCCGCGGGCCGCCTCGCTGGCGCCCCTTCTGCAGGCCCCTCACGACCCCAGTCCCCTGCCCGGCACGGCCAGCTCCGGGCCGCAGGGGCAGCGGCGCCGGCTCACCCGCCATGCCCCGCCCCATCGCGCCGCGCCCGGACTGCTCCTACGTTCCCACACAGGACTGACCCTCACTTACAACCGCCGGCCGCCTCATCCGGAGCCCGGCTAGCCGCTTCCCGGACCCTGCCCGGCCGACCCTGAGGCCCGGCGCTGCTCCAGGCGCCACGGGGGCGGGCCCCGCGCCCATCCTCGCCATGGCAACGCGACACTTCCGGCCCGAGGTGTCCGGAGCGGAAGCCGCGGTGCCGGGTGGGAGTCCCGGGCAGAGCCACTCTACGAGGGGCGGAGCCTGAAGAGCGCCCTCCGGTAGCGGGGTCAGCCCCGGTAGACGAGATGACTCTGTGGAGGGCTGTTCCGTGCTCTGTTCTGTGGCTCAAACATCCTGACGTCTCGGGTGGAGCGGGAAGGGCGAGCGCTCAGGTGTTCCCGGAAGGGTGATCTCTATCCTGGTCACTGAAAGAAAGGCCGGAGTCTTTCCTTCAAAGCAGACCCATGGCTGGTCACAGGAAGGAGCCGCGTTGGGACTTTGTGGTCAGGGAGAAGCAGCCAGGATGAGGACCCTTGAATGTCAGACCCGGGAGCCAGGGCTTAGCCTGGAAGCAAGGAAGGGCCAGTGGGAAGGGGAAACCTCAGGCTTGTAGGAGAGAATTGGGTTCTTTGCTGAGTTAGGGCGGAGGCGAGCCTGGTGAGACACAGGAACCCTCAGCTGGAGTCCCGAGGGGCAGGGGGTGATAGGGTTCCAGGGGAAGGCAGGTGAGGACTGGAAGTGCAGTCTGGGCTAAGACCACAACTCAGCCATGGGTGGGACAGTTAGGAGAAGTGAGGTCCCACTGCGTTTATCGTCAGTGTGTGTGCCGGAACCCACCGCCTCCGCACCCTGCTCCCTCCTGCACTCATGACCGTGCCTTCGTTGGTACCAGGAAGGGTCTGAGTCCGTCGTCCTCTGATGGTGCAATGGGGGGGGGGTGCGCAGGAAAAGGTGAATTCCCCAGGAGTTAGTGTTGATGTAGGTCTGGGACCATTGACTCTGGTACTAACCTTGCTGTCTGGTACTAACCATGCCACTAACCATGGCAGTGAGTGCCATGACCCAGACCCTCACTGCAGACCTGCCCAGTGCAGTAGGCAGGAGAACTTGGCTAACAATTAGAACACAGTAGGTGACTGAGCCCAAGGGTACAGCCAGCGTTAGATGGCCAAGGAATAGGTAGAGGCCCACATGGGCTCCCGTAGCAGACCCCTGGAAAAATCACTTACATCTCTGCTCCCCTTGTTTATGGGGGGTCTGGGAAGTCTTCCCTCAGCCCATCCGCCTATCTGCCCCCACCTCCCCAGTCAAGACCTGGGTTGCAGACCCCCTACCTAGGGCATGGCTTCTTTTAGCTACTTCTTCTTGAACTCCTGGAAATTTCCCATTCCTCTTAGGGTAATCAGACTAGGGAAATCACTTCCCATCTGTTAAATGGGATCTAGGGACCTGACCCAGGCAGATAAGGTATCCTGAGGTAGACCTTTTCCAAGGCCTTTTCCTTCCAGGTTATAGGGGATGCCCAGGCACCCAAAGGCAACCTGGAAGTGGAAACTGATCTCAAGAGGTCACCAAAAGTCCCTACTGGAATCTTCTCTGCCCTTCCCTCCAAGATTAGCTGAACCCTGCTAATTGTGGCAGCCCTCACATGTTCCCCTCCCCCACAGCCTCTTCCTCTCACCCCTCCCCCTTCCATCAGAATGATAAAGAAAGGGACTGCCAGGCCAGTCCTAGCATGGCCTCTGGCTGGGACCCAACCTCGACTTTCAGTCCGTCTGCCTTGAGCCCCTTGCTAGCCCAGACCCCAGCCCAGGGCTGCCTCCCCTGCATGGGTCCCTGCAGCAACTCTCGTCCGAGGCCTCCAAAGGCAGAGTCTCCCCCCAAGAGGAGGAAGAAGAGATACCTGCGGCATGACAAGCCCCCCTACACCTACTTAGCCATGATCGCCTTGGTAATCCAGGCCGCACCCTTCCGCAGGCTGAAGCTGGCGCAGGTGAGAGGGTCCCTCATGTTTGTGGGCCGTAGCTGTCCCAGGCCTGCCCCCCCTTACTGTAGGCCCAGGCTCCCTCCGCCTCTACCTAGTCCACATCTCCTAGCCAGTGGGGCCAGTCCTGAGAGCAGCTTCCACCACCCCCGCCGACTCTGCCCTCGGGCACAGAGAAGGGGTACCCTGCTGCCGGCTGGGAGGGAGGGAGGGAGGGGGCACTGTTCCTATCCCTGTCTCACCTCCCAAACACTCTGCCTGGTTTCAGATCATCCGTCAGGTCCAGGCAGTGTTCCCCTTCTTCAGGGATGACTACGACGGCTGGAAGGACTCCATCCGCCACAACCTCTCCTCTAACCGGTGCTTCCGTAAGGTAGGGAGGTCTATGGCCAAACTCTGGGGGCGGCCGGTGTGGGCACGGAAACCCTGAGCTTCTGGGTGGGTTAGCCACACCCAAACCAATCACTCTCCAGGTGCCCAGGGATCCTACAAAGCCCCAGGCCAAGGGCAACTTCTGGGCAGTGGATGTGAGCCTGATCCCCGCAGAGGCGCTGCGCCTTCAGAACACTGCCCTGTGCCGGCGATGGCAGACCCGGGGCACACACAGAACTTTCGTCAAGGACCTGAGCCCGTACGTGCTCCACGGCCGGCCATATCGGCCGCTCATTCCCTCACCACCGTCCAGGGAGGGCTTCAGCATCAAGTCCCTGCTAGAGGACCCTGAGAAAGGACCGACGCGGCCCCAGCAGCCTGCGCCAGCTGGACAGAGCTCCTCAGCTCAGGCAGGCACCTGGTCCAACGGGGAAGAAGGGGTGTGCACTGTATCCCCTAACTCCTCTGAGAAGCCTCTGTGGCCTGTCTGCTCCCTTCCTGGGCCCACAAGAATAGAGGGGGAGACTTCCCAAGGGGAAGTCATCAGGCCTTCTCTCTCCCCAGAGCAGGGTAGCTGGCCGGTCCACTTACTTCAGGGTTCCCCAGATCCCATGGGAATGACCAACAGCGGGTGCAGAGCTTCCCTGTGGGGTCAGCTACCCACCTCGTACTTGCCCATCTACACTCCCAACGTAGTGATGCCCCTGGCCGCCCTCCCTCCCACCTCTTGTCCCCAGTGCCCATCTTCAGCCAGCCCAGCCTACTGGAGTGTAGGTACTGAATCCCAAGGGTCCCAGGACCTGCTCTGTGATCTGGACTCCCTCTTCCAGGGAGTGCCACCCAACAAGAGCATCTATGATGTGTGGGTCAGCCACCCCTGGGATCTGGCGGCTCCCGCCCCGGGCTGGCTGCTCTCCTGGTACAGCCTGTCGTAGTTCTAGGCAGGCAGGGGCTGCTTCTCCCTTCCACCCCTGGACACCATTTTGATGGGGAACCAGAACTAGGAGCACGTCCACAGCAACAGCTTTAAAACACCAGGCACAGGCTTGGTGAAAACCCACAACTTTAATTGGGCTACTCCAGAAAGGGTTTTGCCTCTGCTAGACACAGCAGGTCTGGCCAGTCCTGCCTGACTCTCCTCCACACAGGGCTCCGGTCTGGGGAAACATTCGCAGCTAGAGTAGTGCCTCTTTTCTTGATCTCACCTTCTCAAGCCTCCATGCCATCCATCTGTCCTTCCCTGTCACCACGCCTTCCTGGCTCCAGGCTGGGGGAGGGAGAGCCTAAGTGGGTCCAGTCTGAAATCCTGCCCCTGCCCCTCAGCTGCCTGAGTAGGAGGTAGCACCTTTGGGGTAAAGGGTTAGGAAATGGAAGACTGGACCCTACATGATTTGGGGGTGATGGAAGGAGGGGGAGAGGTTAACAGTAAAGGAATTTACAACACTTTAATTCCAAGTCTGATTTTGGGGGCAGGGTGGTGACTTGGGAAACCACTTGGCCCGGGGTCTGCTTCCTGCAGCTCTGGACCCCCTGCTGTGAGCTTCGATAAGGGCAAATGGTGATAAGGTTAGGGTTAGGGCCTGTGGCCCCGCTGGGGGTGGGAGGGTGGAGGCAATCATTTCTCCCAAGCACAACATTCCCTGGCCAGATCAAGAAGGGAAAGGGGAAACTGTTGGGGGCCCTCAAAGGCCTGAGTTTAAAAAAAAAAGTTGACCTAGGAGGTGGGGTACAGGAGCGTGGCCGCGCCTCTGCCAGCAGAGGTGTATTCTCCTGGCCCAGACCTAAGCAGGCAGGTCCCCTGGAGGCTCCAGAGTCAAGCCAGAACAGCTGTTGGGGCCGGGACTTGGAGGGCTGCCAGGAGATGGTGTAGGGGTGCAGGAAGTCCCAGTGAGCGGGGTGTCGGTACTGAGGGAAGAAGGGGTTCCAGAGCGCGGGGTCCTACGTCTCCGGGCTGGCCCCAGTTCCACTTGACCCACTCGCTCAGCGAACTTGAGCGAGCAGATGGTCTCCCCGAGATCTTCAGTCCTCGTGGAGATCTACAAGAGAGGGCACTCATCCACAGTCCCGGAGAGCAGTACTTCCGACCTGCAGCAGCTCAGGGACCCACCTGCAGCAGCAGCACTGCGGTGGTGCCAGCGCCAAGCGCCGGCTGCAGCAGGCGGGTGAGCTGTGAATCTCGGAAAGGGACGTGCGGCCGCCGAGCTCGGAGCGCGGCCATCACTCCTCCTAGCGCCAGCAAAGAGCGGTTGATTGACTGGGCTTCCCGCAGACGCCGGGCGCCGTTGGGATCTCTTTGCAGAGGGCTGACCACCCCTGCTTTCCACACGCGCTCGGATCCTGCCAGGTCCACCAGGTGCAGTGTGCCTGCGGGCGCAAATGAAACCCATGCGGAGGGAGACCTCTAGGGAGCCGGGGAACGATCAGGACTTAAGCACAGTCGGTGGTACCTGTGATACCCTGGGCACGAGACGGAGGTGCCCCATGCAAAGTCAGCGTAATTAGGGCGTGGGAGCGTGAGCTGTGCTGGTTCATGACAGTGGATGCCGTAGCTCGGTTGCTCCTCCCCAGACTCAGCATCTACATATATACACACACACACACACACATATATATATACTCCGAGAGAGATCTATAGATACAGACATGGCCCCAGGTGGGAGCAGACAGGGGCTCTGAAGGTCTCACCTGGTGCAGGGTTTCCAGGTTAGGCACATCCCAGTGTGTGAGGCCAGTCACTTGAATCCCCCCCTGTCCTGCAGGTCCCTGCCTCACAACCAGGCGTTCTGGAGGCCCTGTAGCTAGGAGGTCCCTGGTAAGAAAGGGCGGGTTTGGTCCACGGGTTCTAAAGGTGGCTGTAGGACCCGGGGCAAGGAGAAAGCCGCCCACGCATCCGCATCCCTGACCTGACTGCCTCGTTGTAGATCTCCACCATGCTGAGGGTTACATGGTGGTGCCCTCCAGTCCCCATCTCCCGGAACAGCAACTGCAGTGCCCTAGGAGCTATGCCAGGGTCCTCAGGTGGGCCCTGAGGAGTGTGCAGTGCCACATTGGACTCTCATACAAACCCCCGGTGCTCCCCACCTTCCACCCCCAACTGTGAACTCCAGCTCACCTCCATACTGTAGGTTTTCCCAGTCCCGGTCTGACCATAAGTGAAGATGCAGACACTGTACCCCTGGAGGCACGACAACACAGCTGGCTCTAACTGCCTGAAGACCTAGGGACAAAAGACATGGGAGAAGGGTCAGCCCTTGTCTGCGCCCCTGTTGGAGACCTGGAAGGGGAGATGTGCAGTTAACAAGATGCGGGCAAAGTGTAACCCTCTGGGAAGAGGCCCCTCCCTCAGATAGAAGTGTGCTAAGAATTGGTGGGAGGGGCCTAACAGAAAAGATCGGTTTAGGAGAGAATGTAGAGTCCCAGAGGCCATTAGGAGGTCCTGGGGGCAGTGGTCAGGAGCTTAGATGCCAGGGCTAGACTTCCTGGTTAAAGCCTGAGGCGACTAGAGACCAGACACTAATTAACCATCCTTTCTATGCTTCTCGGGGTCACCCCTCTCTATGCCAACTAATGGGAAATGCGTGCTGGGGAACCTGAGTAACCCTGACAAAAAAAGAATGAACATAAACACGGAATGGTGGCTCATGCCTTTAGTCCCAACCCTCAAGAAGCAGCGGCAGAGCTGGGCATTAGTGGTGCACGCCTTTAATCCCAGCACTCTGGAGGCAGAGGTGGGTGAATCTCTGTGAGTTCAAGACCAGCCTGGTCTACAGAGTGAGTTCCTGGTCAGCATCCAAAGCTACAGAGAAACCCTGACTCAAAAAAAAAAAAAAACAACAACAAAAACAAGAGGGTCTCTGTGAGTATAGGGGTTAATTACCAGGCCAGCCAGAAATACACAGTGAGACCCTATCTAAAACAACAACAGCAAAACAAACAAACAAAAACCCAGCCTGATCTATAAAGCAAGTTACAGAACAACTAGGACAACACAGAGAAACCCTATCTCAAAAAAAAAAAAATCCAAGAGGGTCTCTGTGAGTATAGGGGTTAGTTCTAGGCAAGACTATGGGAACTCAGGCTCTGAGATGCAGCTGAGGGACACATGGGGTTGGGCAGAGATATGGACACAATTGATAGCCTCTTCAGTAACTACATAGCCAACGTTCGTATTAGAAGGTCCCCAGAAACTGAATGGCTGTCATTTCTGATTGATGTCTTGATGATCATATAAACAAAGTCTAGAATTACCAGAGTGAGGATGAAAAGTTCAGGACTGGGTGGTACAATGGTGTATACTGGTAAGGAACTTCATGAGAGATACCTTTGGAGCCGGGCGTTGATGGCGCACGCCTTTAATCCTAGCACTCGGGAGACAGAGGCAGGTGGATCTCTGTGAGTTCAAGGCCAGCCTGGTCTACAGAGCGAGTACTAGGACAGCCTGCAAAACAATAAAGAGAAATCCTGTCGAGGGGGGGGGGACCTGGTCCAGGCTGCCCAGAGTATAGTAGAAAAGTATAGGAGCTGTGCATGGATGCACTTGGGATGGGGTGGGAGATGAGGCCAGAGCCATGTATAAGACAGAGATAAATGGGAAATCAAGTCAGATGGGTCCATCCCTGCTAGACACTACATTATACCACTTCTGAGAACAGCAGGTAGCCTGGGGCTTCTTTGCCAGCTCTGTCCCTTACCTAATCCCTCCTCAGCTCTGAGCCTCCACCTCAGTCACAGAAACTCCAGCAGCACAGTTACTGTGCAAATGGAGACACGAGCTTGGGGGGGAGGCTGCTTTCCACTAGCGTCTGGCCAGAGAAGAGGGCAGTAGTATAGATCAGAGCAGGCAGTGGGGGAGCCCTCGGCAGCTGCCCTGCTCCCTTGTCAGCTATGGGCTCACCTGACTGCCTTGGGGTCACAAAGCAAGCAGAGGTTCTGCCTTCCCCGATGGGCAGAGCCTGGGTTATAAGAATGCTGGGTGGTAAAGGCTCCAAGCCATCACCCATAGGACCACAGGCCTGTCTTCACCATTGTGCACCCATCCATGCTCTTGTACACTTGTACACAAACAGTAACTCGCCTTGGACGGGTTCATCTTCCTTAGTCTCTGTTGGGCAGCCAATCCTGTCTCCACAGACTTTCAGTGGTTCCCTTCCCTGAGGAAGCCCAGCCTCCCACCTCCTAGATACTAGATACTCAGACAGTCATGGAAGAGGGGATGGGCCTCTTCTGGACCCAGGGGACTTTGAGGAAGGGTCAGGAAAGATGCAAAGTTGGCGTCACCTCCTCCTGGCTGGCATCTGGAGGAAAGACCCAGTCCAGGCGAAAGCGGTGCTGGCGCCCTCGGTAGCAGGTGGCGATGGTCCCCCCTTGTCCAGGCTCCACGCTCACCGGGCTGGAAGGTGTCCCTTCTGCTGGTCTCAGTCGACATAGCACACGTATATTCCCTGCATCGGGGACCACAGCAGCAGATTGTCTCCTGAGCCCTGAAACGCAGACAGCTCTTCTGCGCTGTAGTCACCGCTGCTCCACTCCCAAAGTCCATCTTACCCTTGAGTTCCAAAAGCCGTCCTGAGCATCCAGTTGGGGGGCCCTGCTGTGCCTCTGAGAGCTGATTCCTAGCTCCTCCAGCTGACAGAGCCCCAAGGGCCCAGGATACCTGTGAGGAGAACAAAGACAGGTGTCCAGGCAACTCTAAGTGAAGTCGGGTGCTGACAGCTGTCCTTTTGGCTTCTCAGCAATGCCAGTTTTCACAGCACAGAAATGAGGACACAGAAATGATGTATGAGGTGGAGGCAGAAACAGGTGGATCTCTGCGTTCAAGGCCACCCTGGTCTACAGAGTGAGTTCCAGGAGAGTCTCGAAAAACCAAAAAAAGAAAAGAAACGAGGACACTTTGAGGTCACTCAGTAATTATTGCAATCAATCCAAATGCCTACGAGTGACCTATTGGTACAGGGAGCTCCTGAGGGACAGAGTGGGAGAAACAATAAGAGGCTCCCCTAGGAAGAACAGTGAACAGAACAGGCTGCCCTCAGAGAAGGTACTGGGAAGGGAGAGGTCCTCACCTGGCCCTGGGCCTCACTCAGCGAGCCCTGACAACTCTGGGTAAAGGTGCTGACCAGTCCTCGGAGGTCCCCACAGCCCTGACGAAGGCTGGCCATCCGAGCCCGAAGTCCTAGAGGAGGAAGGCCATTGAGAGGAAAAGAACAGATTCCAGAGCTTTCCCAGAAACTGCTTTCTCCTCGCCCTTACCTGCCAGCTGTCCATGGACTTGCTGCAGCTCCTGTCTGCAGTTCTGTTCTGTGTCCTGCTGGAGCTGCTGGAGGGCCCCTCGGAGGCCCTGCAGCTGCATCTCCTGCACCCCCAGCTGTTCCCCCAACCCCACTTCTGTCACTGGGGAGACAGGCACCAGGCCCTGCCCCAGACTTCACCTCCCAGCGCCACAGCCCTCC